ACGGGGCGGAGTCTTCCTTAGGCAGATATCGTCGTATGTTCTTTCGACGTTTAGGCTCTGGTCGTGATGGTTCGTCGACGCCGCTATCAGTGCACATAGTGGGGCTATGCGCGGCGAACGCGATGGTCCAGCGGTTGGCGGGGACTCGGAATTGGAGGGGGATCTATTGTTCTCTTGCAGCCTCCTCTTCGCTCTTCTTCCCACGCTGACCGTCCACTGGCCACCCCATTGGTTGTCCCCCTCTGTAATTGGTGTCCTAGACGCCGCGCCTTCCTGCCGCCGCTCCTCCAATCCCCGCTCAGGCTCCGGTGTCGATGGCCCTGGTTGGACGAGCGGGGATGTATGGAAGCCGCCCATTGGTGGTGTTGTGACCGTCATGCACGGTGACGTTCTTTCCTCCCCGATGGTCGGGAGGACGTTCCTTTGGGGGAGGCAAGTTGGAGATGTTAATTGCCTCCCCACGCCACCTGTAAAGCCGGTGGATGTGATTGGGCTTCCACAGGTGGTCGTCGTCACCGTGCACGTGGTGAGTGTAGTCGGTAGCGACGTCGCCGGCGAGAGAGATATTAATATCTCGCCTAGGCTCCCCGCTGAACTGCCCCTGGTGGTCGGAGGCAGGCTGGGGAGCATCGCAGGGGGCGTCCTCTCCCATTGGCCCATGATGTTGATTGGGCCCCCTGCGATTGGCGACGTCGGGTTGCCTGCCTCTCTGGACGATGGCCGGTCCAGAGCTAGCAGGCGTGCATCCATTGCACTTTTCTCGACGGGAGCGCTGGTCGACCGCCTGGATCTCGTGACCACCCCCTCATTGGATGTTATCGTTGGGGGTGGTCCGGTCGCCTTTTTTCTCGTTAACTTTAGTCTCCCCACGCCGCTGGATTGGAATTGCGTGCCCTCCTCGTCTGATGATAATAGTGAGATGTAATTTTCTATATGACGAGGAGGGTGTGGGGAGACGCGCTCCCGTCTTGCCGTGTCTGCGCACTTCTCAGCCGGCACGCTAGTTGCCCGCCTGGTCCTGGTTGATACTGGTGGCTCCTTATTGGCGGGCAACTTCTTCACTGCTCCCTCTCCACATTTCCTGCCGGCAGCAGTACATGATCAGTAGGCTGGTCGGATGCTCGTATTCGCCTATCTTTAAATGTTAATATCTCGTTAAATATTGCGTCAACTGCAAAATGGTACAAAACTGTTTTGTTCCCCTTGATCCAATCTATGTCCCCACTGTGTTTCAGTAACATTTTCTGAGACACCCTGTATAGATATATATAAACTGTCTAGAAATATCATCCCATGTTTTTTTAGCGTTTCACGGTTGGTAGCTTCTTTCTTATGAATAGTTCTAGACTGAAAGGGTATAGATTTAGAGAGAGACACATAAAAGAGGGGATATTTCATTGCGTATTTCGATTCTGAACTTTAAATTTGAAATTAAAAAATGCCTGATCCAATATGGCGTACGTAAATGGTTTTCAGGTACGTTGACTCACAGGTAACACTACCCAAGTGCCATACGCCGATTTCCCTGAGATTATGCATACATATAATACATTGAAAAATATTTGATATGTATTTTTTATATCTGCCCAAAGTCGTTTTAAGGGTAGAAAACGCCCTTATGAATGTATAGGGGTGAATTCCAGTATTTGACGAAGTACTCATACGTTTGTTACAGAATGGGATATACGGTGATTTTCGGAGTTGCTAAATCCAAATCTACTCCCAATTTTTGAGAATTCAATATGGTGGAACCAATATGGTGGATTTGTTTTTTTTAAATTAATACAGCAAGACATTCACGCTCTCTGTCGAACCCGGGAATAACCAACGTGGAGGTGACGAGAAACTATTCCCTTTTTTCAATTTTTTGTTTTTTATTTTTTTGGATTTTTGAAAAAATGTTTCGTTTATTTTTGAGACTTTTAAAGTGAAGCATATAAAGAAGCTGAAGATAAAATTATTATTATTAGATGCTCACACTTTATATTCACAATGAATATAAAGTGTGAGCATCTAATAATAATAATAACAATTTTATCTCCAGCTTCATTATATGCTTCACTTTAAAAGTCTCAAAAATTAAAAGATTTTGTTCCGTCACAAAAAGACCAATCATAACAACTGAAATGCCATTTTATTAGGGATTCATGTCAGTTTAATATGAACTATCGTATAGATCAATATGTGAAAATTAAGATAAATTAAGGTTGCTTAAGGTTAGCGCGCGCTTGCGATGGATTAGTATAGTATAAAAAAGAAACACCATTTAAAAAAATTTTTTTTGTTAATAACTTTTTAATGAAGGACGACCAATATCTAAAACCTGTTAGAGGTCACTTAGAGTAACCTTAACAGCATATGTCAAGATCAAGGTCATCGACGAGATGTCAATTAAAGCACATAATTACCAACATTTTTCCCGGGAATTGATTAAATAGATTTAAAAAAAACCAGAGAGAAAGTTTAAAAATGATATATTAGAATTCTATTTTTTATTACATATGAAATACATACATATTTTATTAAAAAGTATATACATGATGGATTATGTACTTTATCTACATACTCGTGTATTTTATATTCAATTACTATTATTAATAAAATAATATAAGCACATATTATGAGCATATTTATTCAATAAAACGTTAATAAAATAATTAAACTGCCAGCGTGCGCTGAATGCGCTTAACGTTCATCAGAATTCTGATATTGTTGCGTATTTATTCAAAAGCAACGTGTTGTGCCGCTATACAGCACGGTCTAGGATCCACGTAGAACTCGAGGGGGGAGTGGGTAATCAAATATAATCAAATAAATTATCGCTTTTTTGTAGACTTTAGGAAATATATAGCATCTTTATTTCCACAAATCACAAGTGGTGTTCATTTATAATCACAATTCACTTATCGGTATTCGCGTCGCGATATACATATACATATATTGTAAAGATTCGGACGGCGCGACGCGACGTGTTACGCTTTTTAATCTAACCGATTTCTGACCCCCGACCGTGTGTGCGGTCGCGCTTATATTCTATATTTTGGGGGTCAACCTTGGGCCGTCTGCATTGATCCGTCAGCGTTCCGCTTATCGGACGAGGCCAATTTCCGCGCAAACATCTGAGTCTGTGTTTCTTCCGTTTATGATTTTGTTTCCACTCAGAGTCTTCTTTTATATTAACTATACTTTTTACTTTAATTTAATTAATACGGTTTCGTGGCGCAATTGTCACTTGTGCAATTTAGCAATAGTAACACACGTATTTACGGTCTGTTAAATCCAACTGAAAAATATTTAAAAAATTTTTCCAATATAATACGTTTATTATTCTTATAAGATAATATAGTCTACCAAACAATATAGCTGAAAAATTTCTAATTTTGTCATAACGACCACAAATATTTGGTTTAACCAAAGTACATTAAATTATTATTAGATTATGATTTCAAAACTATTTTCTCATGCATTAGAGAGGGCTATTATATACCGATATTAAAATCATCAGGGCGGACAAAGCAGCGCCGTAGAACTGAAAAAAATATGCTTCCATTGTACTTAATGAAAATATTTATGTTAAAATGAGAACAATCAATAAAAAAGAATGTTGAATATGTAAATTAACAATAAAAAGTATAAAAATGCAGTTAACCCTTTGCGGGATACATTTTTCTTCTCAACAAATTATTGAAATCATAAGTCATCTGTGATGGGTTTACGGGGTCGTTGATTACGATTCCGACGCCAGAATTAAAATTCAAAATGGCAGACCCAATATGGCGACTATTTCGGTCTAAATTCGAAGTTTTTCATTCAAATTCCATAAAAATATCCATTTTCCAAAACTTTAACAATTTTTTTCGGAAAAAATAGCAAGCAGAAAATTCTGAAAAAATATATATTATAGTTTCAGATATGGAGTATACGCATAAAAATTTTCAAAGCTCTAGCTCTTCACGTTTAAGAATAGCCGAATTTATTCTGAAAAAAAAACGAATTTTTTTACATTAATTGTTTATAACAAAATTGCAAATAAATAAATTAACGTAATTTTTCACGAAAGTTTATTTCACGAAAGTTAAGCATAACTTAGATACCTAAGAGACTAAAAAGTACTCATATGCGCATACAAATTGCAAAATGGATCAGAAATATGGAAAAACTGAGAATAAAAAGGTGGGACGTATACGTCCCATTGTTTTTCAAAGAGTTAATTGAGAAATGATTTCAATATTATGTTGCCATTTAGATATTTATATAATATTTATACAAAATTGTATGTAGAAGTATTTATTGTCTATTATATGTGTACATTCTATTACATATATACTTATACTTTTAATTAATATTGGACGTACCTGGTGAACGAAATTATATCCAAAGTGGAAAAATCCGATGCCAAATTTTACCTCCCTTAGTTTTATTTGCAACATAAACTGTAAAATCTAATTGAAATATATAATTGAATAAACGTTACACACTACCTATCATGAAAGTCCAGACGTTAGCATAAATTCTATTAAATAACCATAAAATTAAGGCATTATTATAAAACATCAATTACATTAACGCAAAAGTTATTGGCTCGAATTCAGCGTATACAAAATTCTTGTCTGCGTTTCGCACCTAATATCCGTAAATTTGATCATATAACACCTGCCTTCACAAACTCCGGTTGACTAAATATTCATCAGTGCTTTATTCTACATCTATGTTGTCTTTCTTTTCGTGTCCTTCATACTTATACCCCTCCTTATCTTCGAAATCTCTTACGCCTCAACATCGAACTGCATTCCCCAGACACTCTTTCCACTCGACGTCAAGATACCCTAGATTTTCCTCGCTATCGTTCCTCTAAATTACGTTCCTCTTTTTCCTATATAGCTGTCAAATTTTTCAATTTACTGTCCTCATCCTATTATCCTCCTCTGTATCCTCTTTTCGTTTGGCTGTTTCTCGCTTTCTTTCGTCTGCCGGTCGAAATTTTTATAATCATATAATGCATTCTGGGTCAAGTGCTGCCACTTACCCTTAAAATATATAACTTCGTAGGTTGTTTATTTATTGTTATTATTGTAATTATATTAATATGTGTTTCAAAGCCAAATCGAATCCAAACACCAGGTAAAATTGTGTATCAAATTCTTTATTGTATTAGAATATACGTTTCGATCCTTGTATCGGATCCTTATCAATATTTCTTAGTTACTAAGTTACATCAATGTGCTTCCTAGAACAATGATATAATGTTTAGTATGTGCGAAAATCATGTTACTCGTCATGTCGATCGTCAACAAGCAAATGCCGACATTGGGCATCGCACAACGCACGTATAACTTTTCTACAGTTATTTGATGTATAATAATTAATATACTCGCTTATGACAACTGAAGAATGCTCGATCTAACAGCCGAAATATGTAATATTATGATCATCATTTTACTTTTTATTTAACTTAATTACAATTGATTTCTACTTCAAAACATTTTTTAACTTTTTATTTGCGTGAACTTTATAACTGACTCTTACATGCCTTTTCCATTATTTTTATTGTTAATTTTGACATCAAGAGTCCTTGTATTGTTTAATTTACCTTTAAGTTATAAATAATATTTCGTTATTTTTAACTTCAATATGTGTCAAAATCAATTAAATTTCAGTGTCAAAGTGTAAACAGCGTCCATATTAATAAGTAAATTTAAAACAAATTTAATATTAAACTAAATATAAACTAATTGCGCGCAAAAGTTTTATAAATTATTTTTAAGTTTATATGCTAAAATGCATAGCGTCTATTTTATAGAACATTGATATAATCGATAAATTTCAAATGTTCTCTTTTGGCATAAAATAAAAAAAATTTATAAAACTTTTTCTAATCTATATATTCTTAGCTATAATGTTAGTATGTGCATAAGTATCCTAAAATAAGAGAATAATACAATTACTGTTTTATAATGTCTTAATTTTTTGCATAATCGTTGGGTAAAATTTATGCAGGTATCCGAACTTCCATGAGCGCTAAAGCTGAGTAAAATTATGCAAAGAATAGTTAAAATTTTATGTAACATTTTATCGTAATTATTTACCTGTTTACGTAAGTTCTCATCGAGATTATAATTAGATAATTTGTGAAGAATTGCTACTGTCTCGTTTATCTGAAATTGTTTTTATACAATATGAAAATTTGTAATAAAATTGAAAATTTTGAACTCATTAAATAAGGTTGCGTTATTTCGAAGACAACTATATGTATAAATTCATTGTTGCAAAATTGTTGCTTGTGCTTATTATTCTAGTCATAAATAATTAGTAATGTTTTAATTCTACATTAAAAGAAAAGATTGGTTGCTGCATGACAATTTAGATAATAAAATATGGCATAGCATTTTTAATCGGCTGCAGCAACCAATTTTTGGTTGCAGAGCAGCAAATTTATAGTTGCGTTAGCCTATCGAAATCATATACTGACATTGCGAATAAGCTAACGCAACTAAAAATTTGTTGCTGCAACCAAAAACTGGTTGCTGCAATCGATTAAAAATGTTATACCATATTTTATTATCTAAATTGTTGCAGTAACCAATCTTTTCTTTTATTGTACTATACCTTACGGTAAACAGTTTGACATATGTAGTTTAATGCGAGAAAGAACGCGTTAATCAGAATAAAATTCAAAGTTGAATATAAACAGCTGTAAAATAATTTAAATGACCATATTTGGATTTGTTTATTTTCAATTGCAAGTATCCAATATACATTGACATAGAAGATAACAGTATGAAAAAGTATCCGTAGCATTAGTAGTAATATTTGTATGTTGAATATTTTATTTAGTTTGCGTGATATAAGGCATAGTTGTAGATGTACGTGCCTGTAAATAAATCATAATTGTTAATTAATCAAACCGTAAAGACACGTACGAGAAGTACTGAGCAAAATATATTTTTAGTCTCGAATTTGATGTAAAATATAGTTGTAACTTGTAATCGGTTCAAAATGTGCAATTATTTTGCACACTTGAAGTTAAATATGTATTTTTGTGTATAGGTATATGTATATGCATACATATTATATACAGGGTAAGGCAAAAGTATGGAAACCCCCGAATAAGTTTTGAGGAAGGCATTTTACAAAAAAATGTTAAATACAAAAGTTTTAGGAAATTTCTCTGGCTTTTCAATGGTGACCTAGGATTTGACCTTGA